TTTTTTTTTTTTTTTTTTTTTTTTTTTTTTTTTTTTTTTTTTTTTTTTTTTTTTGATAATAAACCAAAATTTCATTAGAAGAGTGCATAAGGAGAAGAAATGCAAACAGAAAAGTAAAAACATACGCAGGAAAATTAAACAATGAGGGGGACACAAAATCAAAATTTTCTGCCCACGCGACTCCAAAACTATAACAAGTCCAACCTCTCCCTCCTTTCTTCCAAGCTCTTCATTTGCTTCTTGTAATGGTTTTCTATATACTGCTTGGCAGCTGCAACCTTCTGCTTGGTGACATTTGAGGGTAACTCTTCACTGGTTGGTGCTTTCGATGCATCTCTAGCATTTCCTGCACTCTCCTTATTTGTTGAGGATTTTGGCTTGTCTTTGGATCTGAACTTATTAAACCAACGCCTAGTAGCTTCCATTATATCATGCAATTACTATGCTAAGTCCTTAACCACACTTCCCAATGCTCATTTTTTTTCCAACAATAATGTATGATATATTTCACCCAGCACGAGTGGTACAGCAAATATACATATACTGCGCAGTACGTCTCCAGTAGGTTAGATAGCGCGACTTCCTGCATGGAAAAAAATATCTAACAATGACAAGATGATAATCAAAAGACATTAAATAGACATATTGATTCCGGCAGTGGAATATAAATAAAAAAAATCATAAAATATCTCTTAGATAGTAAAAATTAAATCATTATTTTCCAGGAGACTATAGTTAACGCATTGATAAATGGATAACTTCTTATGGCCTCCAAGCTTTCTGGGGAGCAATTTCCAACAACTTAATGTTACAAAGCAATACACTTCCTGCAGCCAGCAGACTTCAAACTCGGAAATTATTGGCCTCGTGATATATCAACTCAGCTGCTGTTTATATCAGAGTGAACCCTTCCCTTAGAAGGTAATTAGCAAAATTTTAGAGCTGCATACGTAATTCAAGATATAGAAAGGACCAGCAACAAAGATGATGCCTGAGCTAGTATCAACCGTTGGCCGGTCGGATGTCCAATCCAGGGCGTCTGGTTTACTAAAATTCGTCCAAAATTGTAAGAGAGCTTATTAGTCTGTCGGTTATCAGCTCATTATTAATTATTTTTCACAATTGTAATGTTCATTATAATTTTTTCAGTTGTAAAATCATGACGCACAAACAATTATTTGGTCGGAATTTATAGTTTGAAACGCCTGACAAGAGACCAAGTCAAAGCTTCCTCCAAAACTACATCCTCTTCTCTCTCTCTCTCTCTCTCTCTCTCTTTCACGAGCTTCTTATCACTTAAAATCCAGAAAGAAAAAAAACAGCACCACCTAATCCTCCCTCAATTTCCGATCAACGAATAACTTCAAGAAACAGAACACATAGCCACCAAACAAGAGAGCATCCATAAATAAAAAAAAATTACTCCTCGCGTATAAAAACATTTCAAATCAAAACCAAACAAGATCAATCGACTGAAATTAAAAGCAAACAAAGAAGAGACCAGCAGACGCATCCGACCTCGTAGATCGGATATCGAACCATACAAGTATATAGCTGGAAGAAAGAAACGAAATCAGACGAGAATGAAGGAGAAACAGACATCGGAGCAAAAAAAAAAAGGGGAAAGTAAAAAAGAGAAAGTACCGTACAACTTGGCGGAGAAGAAACAGCAGGAAAGCAATGAGAAGCAAAGCGAAACCCTAGAGAAGAGAGTGAGAGAATGTACGGCCGGCGATTTCGGGTGAAGAAGAAGCAGAAGTGAAGAAGAGGAACACTCTGTCTTCATGATTCGGATGCCCCATTTTCCCTCTTTCTTTCTTTCTTGGAAAAAAGCTGACCCAATCTCAAATTCTCTGTATTTTTATTATTATTCTAATTTTCTCCCTTTTTAATCATACGATATTCATACGTGGATTATTATTCTATTTTACAGTCCCATTTATTTATATATTTCTTTTCTTTTCTTTTTAAATAATAATTTCTTAAACTAACTCAAATGTTCTAGTTGTAATTTTTTATTGTCGACCCTTATTGATAATTAACTTGATTCAACTCGACCATAAATCAATTGTTCGGTTATTTATTAAAAAAAAATTAATATTGGGAGAAATGTCATCGAAAAAACTTGAAATTACGGTCGTAGTGTTTTTAGCTTTATTGGTTTGTTTTACTCATCGTTTTCAAATATATTATAAAATAAAAGCATTTCATCGCAATCAAGCCCATCTTAAATACTTTTTTAATTAAAATAAAAGTTCGTGTATTTGGAAAGAACATATTCATACCAACAAATTCACTACCTGTCGTTCAAGTTCATTTTTAACCAATATTATCCACTTTTACCCGTACGTATAGTCACCAGCTTTACCATTTTAAAACGAGTTTGTTAGGTAGAAATTTTCACACCCCCTATGGATTTCACAATCCACTCTCTTTGGGAAACCAACGTCCTATTTGGCACACTGCCCAGAACTTGTCTCTCATACTATTTTAACAGCCAAAGTTCAAACAAATATTATATACTTTGACCCGTTACGTATTGTCGACAGTCTCACGATTTTAAAACACGTATATTAAGGAGAAATTTTCACACTCCATTCAAATTCAATTATTTAATAGTAATTCATATAGTCAACTATTAATATACCCGTAAGTGTTTGAGTTCAACTCTCACTCTCTTTATTTGTGATATAATATTATTTAAGAATTATATATTTTCAAAACCAAAAATAAATGAATAAAGTGTTTTATAAAAAGGTATATTGACTTTAGAATGAAAAAAATAAAATAAGATGGACAGTTGGATAGTGAAAGCCACACTCAAAGCCTTGACGTCCGCCGGAGATACAGCGGCCGTGCTGTCAACTGAACCACCGCCACTCTCCGCCGCCACCTCCACTCGCCCCATATTTGATTTAATCCCACTCATTCCTTTAATTATTATGCATTATTAAAATATGTTAATATATATTATTAACTTTGATAATTTTAATTAATTTAGAATAAAAAAACAAATTATCTCGTAAAAAATCGCTAGTTTGATCTCTTAAAAAATATATTTTCACTTTGTCAGTAAGAATATAAAATATCAACACGATTAAAGTATTTTTTTTTTTGTCCCTATACTTGGGACTTATTTTATGGCAGCTCACGTCCATTCAAATATGTACAATCCAAACCCGTTTTCAACACAATTCACCAATATTAAATTAAATATGTCAATCTAAAGATGTCCGAGCCATTTCGTTTTAGTTTTTACATATTTCACGCCTATTTCAGTCTCCATATTTTTTAAAAGTGACCAATTTGATCATTAATTCGAAGCTTTTTTATATACAACGGTCAGTATATTTCAATAAATTTATTCAATCTAATATCATGATTGAATAAATTGATTTTTTTTAAAAGACCCAAATGATCAAATAAATTGATATGGAAGCACGAGACCTAAAATTAACGGTTGTTAAAAGGGTAGATACTAAAATGAACAAAGACGAAAATCCGTATAAATAGACATTGATTTAGCAACCTTTTGCCTTCTTTTTTTTTTTTTTTTCTTTAATGTTGTTGAAATATTTCAAGAATTTTTTTTAAATAGAAAAATAATAAAGAGACAAACACATATTTATAAAGAGAAGAAAGCAAAACTTGCATTATAAGAAAGGAGGAGACATCATAAGAGAAAAGGGAGTGTGGAGATTGTTATTGAGTAAATGGGGAGGTTCCTTCTCCTTTGGGGCATCTTTGAGGGACCATCATCCCTATTACCATCTGGCTAAGCAATCACCAAATTAATGAATACAAAACACGGTTTGAAGGCAACGTTCTATCAAACTTTCCATCAACAAGCAACTAGTCTCGTATAATTTGAATATTCATAGAGTTTTCGTTAGTCTAATTTGAACCTAACCCAACTGGTTAAAAGTTTGAATATCTCATCTCGTCATTAGACCAAGACATGGTGGTTTTAGTCTATGAATTTTTGGTATGTCTGTTTTAACGATATCGTTTTATTAGATCTTTATATGAAAATCATGATTTTGATGTCAAATTGGTAAGAAGTATTGATATTGCTTGTGATGTTAGATGAATACATCGAAAAAGATAGATTAGATTAACAATCTCATCAACGTAAATATCTTTTGTTTCAATCACATTATTAATGACTTTTTTCAAAAGTCAACCGACAGTCACCATTATCAATGACTTTTTTCAAAAGTCAAAGGTCAAATCTTCATCATCAACTCGAGAACAATCATCCCTGATATTAGGTCAAAATACGTCATGCTAACAATTATCAAGTCTATGCTTAAGGTTCGTTCTGTTACAGTTACTTGGTCATCTTTACTTTATCCTTAGCAACTAGGTCTACTCCCACTGGGTAGTAACAAATAATTCATGTCATCAAGGGTCGAGTTCAAACCCTGTGTATCCAACAAATGGGATAGATATAAAGGAATCTAAAACAAAGTGCTCGAATGCTCACAAACCCAATATTTGTATTTCCACATAATAGGTGTTGGGCAATTTTAACAAAGACGGAATGCTATTAAGTATGAAGATTTAAAAGTATATAGACCAAAATAACCGGAGACCGTAATAAACATTTTGAAAGTATAAGATCCAAAATGAACCGAAACCGAAACCGAATAATGAAAAAGAACTCACAAGGCACGAAAAGGAAAAGGAAAAGGGAAAGGGAAAGTGAAAAAGAAAGGTCCCCAGCTATACATAATGCTCATACGCGTTTTGGCCCTGATGTGACAACCTGATAAAAGGTCAAGGCTTGTAATTAGCTACAGACAGCCTACAGCCAAGCAGTAATAAAGGCACGTCGGTCTCATTTGGTTGCCCATTATAACTCATTCATTCATTCAAAGCTTAGGACGTAGAGCCCATTTTGCTCCTTTTTCAACATTCTATGAATGAATAACAGCTATGGATGGGAAGAACATTGAAGGGCAAACCCAAAAAAGGAAAATAATGAAGCAAAATTATGTATTCCTATGAGCTTCAGGCCAAATTTTGCAGTCTTCAATTCATAATCAAATAGCTTTAAGTACAGACAATGGCCCAATGACAGACAACAAAAGTGGAAAAAAATTGATGAAGAATATCCATCGTCTATAGATACTATCAATCAAAGCATTACACTGAGTAAATAAATAGAAATGTGAAATACCTCGCTATTAAACAGCGCTGCTCGGGACTTGCTTGCTGATCCGACCCCTCTGGGCGACGACGGGCACTGGAGAACTTAACAGCAACAGGGGATTGTGAAGAAGACAGCACTTTTGGTCTTATTCTGAATCCCTGACACTCTCACTTGTCAGCCACAGTTTCTTCTGGACGATGAACACGGTCTCGTCCCCGTCCAGTTCTGAATCTGAGCTGGCATTGGCGGTAGCTAATGTTTCCCAGTGTAATGCAGGTAGATACTTCTTTATCAAATCTACAATAGATTGCTTGTCCCTGATAATGACGAAACCTGTGGGTCTGAGTATGCGATCCATCTCGAGCAACAAGTCCTCAATGCTGCATTCTTTCTTCTCGATATCAGAAAAGACAGTCCATGCATGGAGCAGATCGTATGTACGAGGATATGTCGAGAAGGCTTCGCACCTGTAAAAAATGTATGAAGTGTAATTTGCATATACTATCTTGAATATAACTAGAATTGCATTTCACAGTTTTCGTTGTAGCCATAAAAGGATATGCAAGTGCTTTTTTTCAGCTGCATACCAGTTATTGATAGAGCCTATGAGGCCTCGATCGTATATCAACTTCAGCGTGTTCGGTCCGTCTTCTGGAACAACGTTCATCACCCACACATCCTTGTCCTTCAGAGCAGCTCCAAACGATCCCATATTAGCCTTCATGTCCATCACATTCCTGATAGTATCCGATTCGATCTTTGGACTCAGTAGATTCCAGTAACTCCCAACTCTACGCTGCCAAATTTCCTGCAACAAGACGATATAAGTTTAGAAACTTCTGCATCCAGATTTGAATCAGTCAAATTCACCATGGTCATAATTTACCGTGTCTTTTTCGAACATTTCAGTTGAATAGCCAAAATCCTGAAGTCGTGGAGGAGGTGAAGTTAATCGAGCTGGCCAAGGAGCCAATCCACTGCCCTTGACTTTATGATCATCTGCACCAACAAATCCAGTGTGATCGTCGAGAAAGCATGTTCAATTTGCAATAGGACGATATTTCTCAGCACATGCCAATAGGACACAACAGAAACCTCTTACGATCACACGATTCAGAAAATCAATTCCAGTTCAGTTGAAGGCTAGTAGGCTAATTTACAAGAAAAAATCAACACCAAGAATCCCAAAGATGGGATTTCCTCCCCCAAGAATGTCATATTCTCTATGCCACATAGCTTTAAACCCGAAAATTTAAATAATTTCCATTAGATAAGCAGCAACACATGGATACTGATAGTTGGCAAGTTGAAAAGGAGGTACTTATGCTGGCAAATAATAAATGATGCATTTAGTAGTAAGAAAATAAAAATATAAATCGAGCCATTCGATAAGGGACGTACGGTCAGAGTAAGGAGTGATACAAGCTTCCATCTGCACACCCCAAACGGCATCAGGATCATCGTCAGATCGACATAGTGGAGGACGAGTACCAGGTTCTCTTTGCAGATAACAATCATTTGTTAGGGGCTTTTGCCATATTACAGTCTGATTCCTCTTTGCAGCAATTCTCCAACACATACGGCCCACAAGGTCACTCATTTTTCTCCATATTCTCAGATCCTCCTCATCCTGGGCATAAGCTTCTGGAGATGAATAAGCAAAATAACCTCCCGGTCTAAGTAATCTATCTAGCTCAAGAAGAAGAATCCCGTCTCTTTGAAGCCAATCAATACGACAACGAGAACAGTGTGCGAGTTCAAAAGATCTGCTTGGGTAAGGGAGCCTCTTGGTTCCTAAAACACCAAGGTAAGCAGGAATTCCTCTTTCCAAGGCAAATTGAATTTGATTTTGATGAACATCATTTGGTGCTAAGGACATTGCAATGATATTAGATGAGAGAAGATATCCTCCAAAACTTGCGACACCACAACCAACATCAAGAATGGTACGCAGTCTTCCTTGATTGTTTAGATTATCATTTGAAAAGTTGAGCATCTGAAAGATGAAGGCCAACGTTTTCAGCTAATCAATTGCTCATAAGAAAATTTGCAAAAATAATAGAATCTCATAAACTTGAGCCAAAACCATGAATGGTAGAGATATAATACGATAAACTCTGCATCTAGAATATTGTTCAAGCAGCAAACATTGCATAATCTTTCCTTTCAGGATGATAAAGAAGTGTTCAGAAATCTTACATTTGCAATTGAAGCAATGTACTTATCAGCTCCGTAGTGAAAGTGAGTACCTCCTCCAGGGAACACAATTTTTTCTCCTTTCACAACCATCCAGTTCTGATCGGATTTCTCATGTGCAAGATGAGTATGAGGAATGTTAGCTTTCCACACTTCATCTCTGCTCTTTGGCCACTTAATTGGGACCTGAAGTAACACATCATTAGTAAGTAATCAGCAAAATCTTCAGGTGATGCTCAGTGCTACTAAATTACCTTATATCCTGCTGGAGGAGGAATCAGGCAATTGAACCGTCTCTCAGGTGGTGGGCAGTGTCTTTCATAGTGTTCCATTAAAGAAAGGTCCAGTTTCAATCTCATTTGGTAAATGAGATGTCTGTCCAAACATGGAATCAATTCTGAATGACGGTCATCGCAGACCTTTGAAACAAGAGAAGAAACTACATGAGAAGGCTCCACAGATCACCACAAGACTAAAAATATTAAAAGTTGAAGGAAGAAAAAACACGGGAAGACAGTTACTTACAGGGTAACTTTTTGGCACGACACCATCTTCTGCATCGTCCTGCTCAGTTGAGGTTGTAGATTCTTCAGAGTCTTCGTTCCCCATCAAATAATGACTCAAGGACTTGCTGCCATGCTGCAGTGCGAACGCACCACGGTCTTGATTGCCAAAAATGGATCCATAATATGCATACAGAAACCCAAGAAATATCGCCACAACACATATGGTAGCGATTAATCGCTTCTTCTGTGTTCCATCAGATCTTCCCCTCGTCATTTATCAATCTTTCGAGTTTTTCTCAACTATATACTTTGACCCAAGTATGAAAACAGTGTTGCTCGTATCGCCTAAACAGAAACTGGTTAACCTCCCCTCCTGAAGCTACAGTAGAAAACGATAGCAAGAATCAGGTATATTATAGAACCCAATGCCGAACCTGCCAGGAAAGCATGAAGTTTCGTAACAGAAGAAAAGGCCAGAGACACAAAGAGCCTGATTTGTGGGTTATGAAACCCCGTTCTACTTGAAGTAAGTGAATTCATACTTCCAGTCACATATGGTCCTAATCATAGGGACAATACTAAATCAGAAATGCCAAGTGCACTCAATTTCTTGAGTCGTGACTTGTAATCCTTTATGATTTCTTAAAGAATTCCCTTCTCCAAATGTCGGTATAGTTTAATTTCTTGAGTTTTCTCTCAAGAAATAGAGAAGACTCAAGAAATCATCAATTCTCAAACACCATAACACAAGTTCAAGCAACAATTACAATCAATTCAACGTGTAAAAAGCGAAGAAAAGAAAAGAAAACACATAAAATTCTTAATGCATCCAACGAAACTCATCAAGTACATTGACAAGCCAACCAACTGAAGAATGGATGAACCGACACTCATAAGCAAGATTCGCCCTACTAGAACATCAGCCCACTCTAAGATCATCTCGACATTAAATCAACGTCAAAATACCAAAACAGCCAAAGATACGAGAGCAATGTGTGTCGGTGCATTCAACTAAATCCCCAGATCTGAAAAATCTCAAGAGAAAAAAGAAAAAAAAAATCCATCGACTAACTAATCAACACCTCCAACATAAATTCCAATCAAACCAAACGCCAAATCCAAATCAAATTTAACTAATTAACAAACGATATCCAGAAACCAAACCAATTTAGATCCAAAAATCAACGAAAACAACTCACAAGCAGAAACCCAAATCACGAGAAATGGAGAAAAACAAGTAGACAGCGGGATCGGAGAGCAAGTACAGCAACTAAAGATAAACAGCGAGAGCTTCCATGAGTGAAGGAACGAGAAATCAAATATGAAAGAGACAGAGAGATCAGGAAGAAGAAGAAGAAGGAGAAACCAGATCTACAAGTTTCTGGTTTAATGGAGAAATCATGCTATTTTTGGGAGGGAAGGACCTGACCTGTTGTTAAGTAATAGCTCTGCGTCTGCCATTGCCAGAGAAAAGAGGGAAGAGAGTGATGGTTTTATACACTGTATTGAATTTCTCTAATTTTCTGAATCTTTATTTATTTATTTTATTTAAATATCAGTGAAACTAAATCATTAATCCTCCCAACTACTTGCTAATTAAGACGCTAATCCTTTAATTAAAAATTAATTAATACGTTAATTATTGATTAATTCTATTTTATTCATGGATAAGACACTGATTAATAAATTTTAATTTCGAACTTTAATTATACAAAATAATTAAAATTTAAAATTGGCCACTCCAAATAAAAATAGGTAAATATTAAAGCAATTAGCTATTGACATTTTAAATTTAATATTTTAGGTTAAAGTTTTAATTTTTTATTTATTTTAGTTTTAAAATGTTTATTTATTTTAGTAAATATTTTAATAACAGTGATCATAATGGTAATTTCTGAAAGTTACAGGATTGAAATAACTAATTTTAAAAATGAACTGGGTAATATTAATAAATAAAATAAGTAATTAAAATGGAAAGTTATTTATGAGGGAAATAAAGTTGCATGAGATCTCAAATATGTCCACTTCACATGCCACAGCTGTTGATATGCCTTTCACATAAATAAATTTGACAGCTTTAAATTATTGATTATGACTTTTATCCTATTTATTCAACTTTTCTTTAAATAACATGATAATAATAAAAAAGGTGTATTAGGTGTTATAGACTGTAACATTTCTTTTTATTAAAAAAAGTTAAACATAGACTAAATATAGTAGTTTTTTTTTTTAATTTTAATTTTAAGGGTTTTAATGAGTATTTTTTAAGGTAGTATTAAAAATTTAAGGATAATTATGAAATAATCTATAAAGATATGTTTTAAATAAAATAAATATAATATTAATAATTTCTAATTTTTTAAAAGTTTTAAAATTGTTAGATGAATACAACTCTCCACGCTTACTTCCCGAAAAGCCTCGTTCTAATGGAAAGTGTATTTTTTTTTTTTATTATAAACCCATGACCATTCCCTAAATTAACTGATGTGGGATACTTTCATCCAATACGCCTCCCTTTAATCGAGGCTCGACTCCTTTGGAGTCTTCTCTAGTCATACATTGTTCAAGGGGAGGCGTTGGATGAAAGTGTCCTACCTCGGTTAATTTAGAGAATGTATACGTAAATTTAGAGAATGTATATATATAGTGTGAAGTTGGAAGAGAGGGAAACATTATTACTTTTATTACTAAAACTCCGAGAGATTTCTCCATTTTCCCGGCCGACAACGGCTCGTCGGCGAAAGCTCGCTCTTTATTCCCTAAATTACATTACGAACTCCATTATATATATATATCTACCATTTCTTCATCTCTTTCTGTCTCTTCTTCCCTGCGACATTCCTGGGCTGAGAATCCTCATCTCCTGTTGCCCGTACTTCAGCCGCTGTGCCTCCTCCCTTGAAATCCGGTACATGTTCGACAGAACTCCCAGCGGCAACATCCTCATCTCTGAAGCGCGCCCCGCCAGAAGGTTCGTGATAGCGTTGTCGTTCGTCTTGAATGCAATCCACTCGAATCCTTTGTCGCTTGCTTGTTTCATCACTACGAAGTTCTGTGGAATCATCAGTACCTGTCCTTTCCGAACCTCGCCGTTGAACACCGATTGTCCTAAGTCGTCGACGACCTGTACTCTCGCGCTGCCTCTCGTCGCGTATAACACCGTGTGGCTGTTCACTGTGTAGTGCGGTGCTACGAGCGCGTTCTGTTTGCGTTGAAATTAGGGATTTCGAGGTTGTTAGGGTTTTTTTTTTTTTTTTTTTTTTTCAAATTGGAGATTTGAAGAAATTTGCGTGTTAGGGTTTCTGAAATTGGAGATATGATGCAATTACTCTACTTACGCTGTAGAGGACTCCTCGTTCGGCGCTGAGGCGGACTTGGCGGAGGAAGGGGAGGTTATGGTAGTTGGCGGTGGAGATGCGGCCGCCGCGTGGGTTGAACACATCGGCGCGCTCAGACCGACCGATGTTGTGCTTCAATCGGAGTGTGCATATGGTTTCTTCGAAGCCATTTTCCGATTCTGATTCGATGTATCTTCCTCTTGATCTCTCCTGTTCATCTTTCTCTGGCAGAAGCACGTCGAAATCTTCATCGACTTGCACGATTCTGTCTCTCTCGTCGTCTTCTCCCTTCAGCCGCCTGACCAATCCACTGCCTATTTTGAAAGCTTCTTCCAGAAGTTCGTCTGCAAATCCACTGAACATATTGCCTGATTTCTCGCCGACGGATCCCCTGCGGCTTCTTCCTTCCATTTCCTCTGCGCCTCTTTCCACCATCTCTGGCCTTCCGGCGAGGAAGAATTTCTGTAACAAATACAACAAAGAATCTTACGGCTTCTTGATCAAACAGTAATTAAATCGTTATACACTGCCGAATCTGAGGTCGTCTTTTTTAAAATCAGAGATTAAATCGTTATACTCTGTTTTTGCTTAACTTACTCTGAGGTATGGATCGATTTGATTGGCGACATTGCGAGTGTCAGTGAAGACGATCAAGATGAGATCGGACTGTCCTCGATTATAGATCCAGTGAGAAACTCCGGCCGGTACAACGAGGAGATCGCCCTCTCTGAACTGGCGGATCTTCTGGTGCTGGTCTCTGAACGCAGATCCAGCCGATTGCGATCTTCGTAAATCGGTCTGGTAAGTTTCCGCACAACCGGGAATTGCAACCCCGCGTATGCCGGTGCCTTGGACGACGAAGATGAGTTTAGGAGCATTAGAGAATCCAGGTAGAAGCAGACCTCTGGACCGGATTTTATGGCGGAGCATATTTACTCCGGCGCACTGGAACTCCTCGCTGTACTGATCCCACACTTCAGTGGAACCGGCCTCCGCCTCGGCTCTACGAACGGGCTCTTGAGCTCTGAGATTCTCAAGACGACAGGCTCTCGGAGAATGGAATCGATGCTGCTGCATTGCTTCCCCGCCTTGGAATTCCTGAGGGAAATGCCCAAACTGAGCGAAGCAGACATTGATGAAAACCAGTAGACATGACAAACCAAGAAGAGAAGAGCGAGCCATGGTGACGGAGAAAGAGAGGAGAAGGTTAGTAGGTGCGTGAGAAACGTAGAGGAAGGTGGCGGAGTATTTATTGGCGGACGGAGGAGGAATGGTGGTGACAAGTGGATGGCGGCGGCGGTGGTAACAGAATACGTGGTGGGAGGGATTCATGTAGAAACCCACCAGCTGCCATTGCGTCTCTGACATGTTACAGAAGGTGCTCCTTCGAGCCTCCACGGACCATTGTTGCACAGGCTAATCCACCTCAATGGTACGTAATTTTATTTGCATGTTTTTTATTTTTCATTTTCTTTAGCGATTATTCTTTTGAAATTATCCTATTTAATTATGTTAATTATATATGGGCCTGGTGGGTCATATCTCTTGGACAGCCCAATAAGTGGAGATATGTGAAGAAGCCCACCTTCTAAATTTATGGGCTTTTGGCCCACTAACTAGAAATAAAAGTTATTTATTGTTTTCAACAAAATAATAATTTATAATAAATTTGTAAATTTTATCAAAATAGACTAAATCTTATAAAAAAAAATAGCCAAAATGATAAAATTGAGTATTTAAATTTATTATTCATGACCTCATTCCTTGAAGAGTACTCAAACTTAAAATATTTTTTTAATTCGCTTGTTTTTTCTTTTTTAATTATTAATATTACTTGTGATAGGAATGTGTTATTTATTCTTACCTACTTTGCAATAGGGTAATGTAATATTTGTTTCATAGACTAATAATTTTAAATCTAGTTATAATATAAGGAGCTGAAATATCTGGTTTTTAAATTATTTATCTTGTTTTTTTTTTTCTTCATTTTTTAAAAAAATTAGAATTAGATATGATTAACCTAATGATGGACTTATTTTGAGTTAAGATTACTATCTTCTTCTGATCTTTCCTCGACTCTTGACCTATTTTGTTTGGTTTAATTTCACCTGCTAAGAAAATTAATCTATCTCATTTCATTAATTAATTTCAAAACAATATTATTGATTGATTAGCGGGTTTGATAATACACAAAAATATTTAATAATTTTGAAAATAAAGTTAAAGAATATGGAATAAGTAAAAGTCATAAAAGTTGTGCAAAATTTCTAAATAATAATAGTAGGTGAAGAATAGAAGTTATTTTGTGAAGAAATTAACAATTCCCGAATTTCGAAAATTTCTTTTCATATCTCCCATGTTCGCTCATTGCCCTCAAAATTGACAATATCTTAATTTATAAAATTTCTCTGCGTATGACGATAACGTTGAGCGGTAGAGACAATGTCTCAATCTGCTTTTGTGATGGTGAAACACTAGAGTAGAGAGTAGAGTTGAGATATTACAATCATTAATAATAAGGTGATAAAATTAGTTTTGGGCAATGTTAAACCTCTGAGGCCATCGTGAGATTAGACAAATTCAAGGCTACCAAATACAAAATAGACGAAAAATTAAGTTCAAAAGAATGATCAGATGAGAGGTCCCTACTAGCAATCTTGGCTTCGACTAAGGTTAAGGTTGAGATCAACCCAATGCTGATCATAGAGATTCTCGAGGTCAGTCTGATTCAACTCTCAAATCTAGATCTTAAAATGAATTGGAATTCGAGATCAACCATCATATAGAATACATGTCTATTCTAAACTCTCAAAATTCCAAGCATCGTGTACTCTTTTACCCTATAATTTAAGTATAGAGTATATATGACAACGGGTCCTCTCATATTCTAAAAATTCCCCGTTAAAGCACGTAAATATCAAATGCATTTTCTATTTTGAAAGTTTAGTTTCGTAAACTTATTATATTACTTAACATATATATATAACATTACCAAACAATCATATACTTTACATTAAAAAAAAATCAATTATTAATACATTTTAGTTTGAAAGCCATAATATAGTAAAAGAAATGTGTTTATGTGAGCACGGCCTAGTTTTCCATAAATTTCCTAGAACAAAGCAAGACGACGCCGTTTTCACTTAAACGCGTCAATTCCAAGACGCCGAACTTAGCGTTACATTGAAACTACATTTTAAATGCAATATTAATTACGAGAAAAGGAGTGATGAGAAATTTCCTGGAAACTCGAAATTAGCCCCTAAATTCTCAGTTATTACATAAACCCCCCAATTTTTTTATTCCTTTCTTCAAACTCCTTACCCGGTAAGGAATCCACTCTCTCAACTCTCAACTCTCAACTCTCAACTCTCAACTCTCCCGCGGATTCATATTTCTACCCCTGAGTTTCCTTATAAACCGAAAAGTGGAACTCCTTTTTGTTTATTTATATTTCAACCCCCCTGCTCTGTTTCGTCAAGCTTTCCATTTATTTTTAGAACTGCCATTTTTGCCACATTCTAAATTCTCAAGATCAAGATACTACCCGACGAACGAGAGATTTGAAACTTTTCAATCCTCTTTTTGTTTGTTTGTTTTTTTTTTTTTTTTTTTTTCGATGATGTATTCTCGAAGTACTTGCCTAATCTGCTGTGTGGTTTTTCTAGTACCTTATTAATTTTTGTTGTTTTTTTCTTTAGTTTTTGATTCGATGGATTGAGTTTATTTCCATTTAAACCTTATTTTCGATATACTGGATGAAGTTCTTTGGGTTGTTTATATCTGCCTGGCGATTTTTGGTACAAAGTGTTTTTAGATTTGTGGCAGCTTCCTTGTTTGGTCTGCAGAAGGCATTAGGAGCAGCTGGGTGGTCATTTTTGTCTGGTTTCTCTAGTTGAACATTTTCTTTGGTTTTTTGGGATCTTTATTATGGGATAGTTTTGATTTTGGTTAGTCTTATTGTTTGTGGAAGCTAATTTGTAATTCTTTCTTGGCGGTTGCTGTTTTGGCCTTTTTTCTTGGTCGGTTGTTTTGGTTGGTCGATGTTTTTTTCTTCTTCCCCTGTTTCCTTTAACTTTTTGTATCTTTTCATTTATGAATAAGAAGTTGTTTCTTGTTAAAAAAAAAAGTTTAGTTTTGAAGATAGTAGATATTTTACAATTGCATTGGCAATAAAGATAGAACCTGTGATTTGCGTGCCTGTTATAAAGACAAAGTGATTAGAGGATATGGTGTTAGGTAGCACTTGCTTGAGGCTTTCACTTGGAAGATAAGTCTCAAGAGTTTTGAAGACTAAGAGTAATGAATCCATTTTGAAGATAAGTCTCAGGAGCAACTTAAAAAAATCAGGTTTAAGGATATTCACACTCTTTCTGAGTTCATTGAAAAACAGAAGAAATCAGATTTGAAGATGTTCCAACTCTTTCAAAAGGATTCCGTTGTAAACCACCTACCTAAGGCTTTNTTTTTTTTTTTTTTTTTTTTTTTTTTTTTTTTTTTTCGATTCAGTTTTTGTTTCTGGATTTCGTATGGGGCAGCAACCTTCCAAAGATGAGCTTGTGTACCAGCGCGCCAGCAATGGCGATGTGGATGGGATTAAAGCCCTTTCTAACGATGGTGCCGGCCTTGAGGTGATTGGAATTCGTAATTTGTTTATTTATTGATCTCTATTCTTTTGTAGTTTTGTATTCTCGTGGATCATTTTTGGTTTATTTTGGGTTATTGCTGTAGTGGGTTGATAGGGAAGGAAGGACTCCGTTGATTGTTGCCTGTACGAAACCCGAGCCCTACAACGTGGCGAAAACGTTGCTAGAACTTGGCGCCAATGTCAATGCGTTTGGACCAGGTTTGCTATGAACATTTCGGGTTTCCATGGTTTGATTTGGCCGATTAATTGATGTATCAGATTTTCATATACGTTTATTTCAATTTCTGTGACATAATTGGTTATTTTATTGCAAAGTATCCAATGGATTTAATATTTTATCATTTCGTAGCAGTTTGTTTTTGGAAGATTGGGTTGTAATTGTTTATTCTTTTGTCACGCTTTGAGAGCTGGATTTATGTTATTTTAGGCCGTCATGGTGGAACGCCATTGCACCATGCTGCTAAAAGAGGCTTGGAAAACACTGTTAGATTGCTTCTTTCATACAGAGGTTTGTTTGTTTTTGTTACTCGAAATATTATAACTTGTTCTGCATCCTGCCAATATCGGATAATTCATTTAACCTCCATTTTTGCTGTAATATTGCTTATTTTTGTTCCAATTTCCAGCAAATACTTCGATAATCAATGATGCTTGCCAAACTCCTTTGGAAGTTGCGCGAGCAGCGGGGCACAAAAATGTTGTTCGTGCCATTGAGGTACTCTATCTTGTATATATTTTTTAAATTCTCCCCACATTTAGGCTTGGATATTAATTTGATTCATACCCACATGTAAATTCTTAATATCAATTGGAGAGAAAATGACAATAGAGAAGTAGGATTTTCTATTCTAATACTATGTCACATTTTCATTAAGGTTGAACGCTTAAACTAATAGGTTTATGTATGTTCTTAACATACAAATGACCTCTTAATATGTCAATTTGAGCATATATCAATTGATTAAGATATATGCTCCCGAGATCAGGGGTTCTAGTCTACCCACTCTACATTTGGTTGAACTCTGAAAAAAAAGGAAAATGTTCTTTAAAATGTTGAAGCATCTTTAAACTACACAATGAAACTTCATTTTCATACTATTTTCTGTCCTCAGAAGATGTTTCTAATGATGTTTTGTAGAATCATATTTGTTTATTCTCTGGTTGGATGCGGGAATTTTATGGGCCGGAGTTTCTCGAAGTACTTGTTCCTCATCTCCTTTCGAGAAAAGTGTGAGTACTTTTTCCATATGATTTCGGTCATGTTTATCCCCTTTCCCCTCTTTCAATTGACATTGATACTCTGCATAGTATGTTAATCGTTGAAGGCATTAGGGAATCTTTGGCACTATCTTTTGATATTTATTAACCAAGTCTTTTGTCCAGCTTTTCTGTAAAGCCGTGAATAGTTTATCCTTACATAGTGCATGATATAGCTTGTACACTAACAATGCAATTTCTGCAGCTGGGTAGTCATTTTACCTTGTGGTTCTCGAAATCCTATGAAGCCTACTAAGTTGGAGCTTGCCTTGTACACTAGCTTGGAGGTATTGGTTTCTATACATGTCAGCTTTCATTTCCTTCATTTAAATTAC